TCTCTGTAGACTTTCCTCCCTCTGGAGTCTCCAGGTCTAACTTACTCTTTCTCATGACCCCCTTGCAGATCTAAGTCACCCTGACCCTTTTCTCTGCCTGACTAGAGAGGAGTTTTCTTTTTTTCTAACATTAAAAAAATTATTTAATTTCATTTATTATTTGATTATTACTTCTAACTAGAGAGGATTTTTCATCTGAACGGCATGTGGACTAATTTAGGTGGGGAAGGGGCTCATGCATGGTAAGCAGGTGGGGAATTGTCCATTGTGATGCATCAGGGGCAAGGGCATCTGATTCTTGAGAAGGAGTATAAAGCCTCTGAGTTGCTATTGCAGAAAGCAAACTGGAGAACACATGGGGGAAAGCTGATTTCACCTCTCCCTTCAACCACATGATCCTGAGTCCTACTCAACTACTCCTTGTGTCCTGCTAGTCTGCTGACCTACCCACACACAGAACTGTCCTGGAACACTCCTCCCAAACTCTGGGATTTTGTTTGACTCCAGTATTTCCCCTAGTACCCTTCTACATCTTTCCAGGTGCCCGATACACCCCTTCTTGCTACACCCCAACCCTCCCTCAGTCCTGATTAGGATTCACCCCATTTCTTCCACTCCCCACATCCAGTCTGTTACTAACCATTGCCACTTGGTCTTTGCCAACATCTCCTCAGTCCACCCCCTTGCATTTCATTCTCATAGTTGTGGTCTTAGTCTAGGTTTTGGCCTTGGCCCACTGAGACTTTGTAGACTTCTCTCCTCCCTCCCTCTTAATGTGCGAATCAAACTCCAACTTATTTAACAGCATCGACTAACTTTTTTTTTCCTATCCATGTATTTGGTCCACTTACTCTTTGGGCTCCATTGAGACCGCCGACAGTTCTCTGGACAAGGTTCTAATATGCACTTTATACGTCTCACCTCTTCATCTAATGACCTTCTAACTATTTCAGTCTTTTTTCTTACTTTTCAGGGGGAAGACCCTCTGTTACTTCTTTTTCTTTTTTTTTAAAGGATTATTTGATTTGATTTGATTGATTGAGATCAGTCAAGGCCACCCAAAGAGCAACTGAGCCCTGCTCCAGCATGAGTGTGGTTGCTGGTTTTCAGCTATGTGCACCATGTGTGCTTGGGGGTATCAGTGGTTCCCTCAGTAAACTAACACTGACAGACAGACAAGATGGCAAAAGTTTTATTCGGGAAAACATCAAAGTTAAAGCAGGGAAGAGGCATGATCAGGCAGGGAAAAGAGTAATGTGCCTGTGACACCTTTTCCAAGGGTCAGCTATGACTGGTTTATCGAAGCTCAGGTCCTCTGGATGTCACATGGGTGGTTGTGAAAAGCAAAAGGATGTTGGTTCATTCCCATGTGACTTTGTATTTTCCCACGTGTGTTTACCTATGTGGCTGCACCTGAGCTTTCATCACATGAATAACGGTCTCTCCCCAGACAGAGCTCTGAGTGTACCTGTGTATGTATCCTCTTGTAGTCTTTCCTTTCTTTATGTGGTAGGATCTGAATTCCAATGGTAAGGGAGAAACTGCTTTATTTTTAGAGAATGGGCCTGCCAGTCTCTGGGTCCAATCTGATCACCCTTAAGTTTGTTTAATATACTGCAATGGACACCCTTAGACAATGTATGGGCAAATGTTTTCACTTACACTGTGAGAAGGCAGGTGCCCACCGAGTTCTGGCCATTGTGGGAGATACTTTCCCGCTATACTCTCTCCTCTTTGCCTCACAACATTGTGAGCAATTAATCAGTATTTATATGTCTTGGGCAACAAAACTGAGGCTCAGAGCAGGCCCCATGAATTGTTGGCATCGACACTGAGATGGCAGAATATAGGAAAAGAATGGGCAAGTGCTGGTGTGCAGCTGAGACATGGAGGTAAGGGGAGAATGTGGGACTGTAGGGATAGACACCCAGTCAGCACCTCAGGAGCAGCCTTGACCTCCCTACTGATGGGGGCCTCATTCCAGAGTCCAGGGACACTGCTTTACCAGACTTGACCTGTCCTTGCTTTGAGTGTCACCAGAGCATAAACTCAGAAAGACAGATTCTCCTGGAAAATCCACATGAAATTTCCCCCAACCTCCTGAGCCTTTCATACTGATCCAAAAGCATCACAAATCAGAGGGACCCAACCGTCTTTACTTCGGATTACAGGTGCAGGGCTGTAGACCAAGTGTTAGCTGACTTCTCTTTATCTTGTACAATTGACAGCTTCTTTTGTTTCTCTTCCCCCTCACGTCATCTCATAAATAGCTTCCTAAGATGGGAAGGAAATACACATTATCCAGTAGCTCATGTGAAATTCCTAGCCATCTCTAAGGCCTTGATTCAAAAGTTCCTTCTCAAACTCCCTTGTGACTATACAGAATGAAAAATCCTGACAGATGTAAAAGGAAGTCTCCTAAGGAGAGACTAAGAAAAATTAAACTGTGGTCTGAGGGAAAGTAATTACCAAATACAAGTTTCTCTTCATGGCTCTGTGCTCTGTTCAATACTACATAAATCAGCTAAGATAAAACCATCTAGGAAAAGCATTAGTGTCCTTTTTTGTCAGTCTCTTTGTTGAGAAAGTAAAAACTCATTTTAGTTCAGCTCCTCACTACTACACACATCATGGTGGGGCAGGAGATGAGAGTTTATCTGCCTCCTGCCATGGGGAAAGCTGCTCTCCTTAAAAAAAAAAAATATGGTGCTTCACACAGACAGTCAGCCTTCCAGAGGTGCTGGTGTCATTCACCCTGTGATTCACTCCCTGACATTTCTACAATTCAGAATGAAACTCCTGCCTCCTCCTTTAAAAATCCTGGTTGGGGGAGAGGATAATCTCAGTGCTGGCAACATCTACTGAAATAAAAAGTGATTCAAGTTTCATAACAAGGGTGTTAGCTCCTGCAAGAACATTTCCACTGGAAAACCACCAGCCTGAGTGGCTATACATTAACAAGTCTTACTCCATTGACAATAAAGGCAAAAAGGAGCAAAGTCTAAACAATTATATTTGCTATTATTCTCAAATGACTTTGTTTATGGCTCTGATTCAAAAAATTCTCAACTTATTACTTGATTTTTTTTTTATAGCTCACACGTGAAATAAAAATATCTCTAAGAAACTATGACAAAAACACTGTAGATGGATGTTCGGGCTTTTGTTTCTGGCCAGCCAAGCAATCCTTCAGCTAGTGCTTTCTGGAGTGGCTCTTGGCCTTTGGGTGTGTGGTGCAGTGCTGAGAACACAGAGGGGAGCAGGCACCACTTCCATCTTAAAACAGGTACAGTTCAGCAACCAGCAGTTAGCATAATGGCTATGTTGCTGGACTCCCATGTAGTCGACCGCGGTTCGCGTCCAGGACCCAGTGGCTTAAAACTCATGCCGGGCGCGTGTTCGTGTGTGCCCAAGATCCTGAGAGGAGAATGGAGGAGAAGGGATTGCGGAGTGACCATCCCCCCTTGGGGGGTGATTTCTCATTTTCTATCTCTCTGTCTGTCTGGTGAGAGCATGTGCCCTATAGCGAAAACCTCTCCAAAACACACAAACACACACACACACACACACACACACACACACACAAACAAACAAAACAGGTACAGTTCAACGCACACAGGAAGTCAGTGGGGACATAGAAATCTGGCCCCATCCTTTCTTGGGCTTCAGAAGGATTAACATAAAACTTGAGTTTTGAGGAACAATACAGCAGACTTTTGCTTTCAAATAGGAGTGAGTAGATCTAAAGTCCCAGATCGCTCCTATAAACAGGAAGAAATAGTGGACAACAGATGGAACCCAAAACCGAATGCATGAATTGGTAAGGAGCCAGTGTAGAAACATGAGGTAATGAAGAAAGAAATCCAGGACTTGGTCCATCTGGGCATTTGGGCCTTTTCTCCCTTGTCTCATCAATGAATTCTGGGTAGATACTCTGGAGGTTCAAAGAAGCTGAGTAGTTTTTGCACACATGTGTGGGCTAGAAGGAAAACAAGTGGAGGGACCAGCAGTTGGCATAGTGGCTATGTCTGGACTCCCATGTAGTCAACTGAAGTTTGAGTCCCAGACCTGGTGGCATAAACTTATGCTGGGCATGTGTGTGTGTGTGTGCTCAAGAGTCAGAAAGGAGAATGGAGGAGAAGGGATTGTGGTGTGGCCATCCCCCTGGAGAGTGATTTCTCTCTTTCTGTCTCTCATCTCTGTCTTTCTGGGAAGTGCACGCACCCTATAGCAAAAAAAGAAAAAAAAAACTAAGAAAAAGAAGGAAAGCAAGTAGAGTTTAAGGTCTGTCAATAAGGTGATCCCCCATAAAACCTACAGGCTTTGATTGGGACCAAGAATTTCACACTAGGGATAAGATGGACAGAAAACATTCTGACTTTTGTTGGTACTGAGCCTGGAGTAAAGCTCGATTAAGGAGATCCAGTATCGCTAAGTCCTCTACCATGTGCCAGAAGTGAACTCTCAACTTTTCTACAGCAAGATCACAGCATATCAGGGTTCCATTTTTCTCTACTGTCCACTCAATGTCTGGTGTTGAATAGAAAATAACACAATAACTAGCAGGACAGTACAATGGAATATGATCGAAACCTAAATGACTATAGAAATGGACCCAGAGGGCATCCAGATGTAAGATATAGAAGGTAGCAATGCTGGTATCAATGTCTCCACTACCCCCAAAATAATTGCAAACAAGAGGGTATGGACCAGCCAGCACTGTGTTGCAGTAGTAATACACCACTAAAGAGGAGCTGGGACTCAGTAGTCGCATCATTTTGAATTTTAGACTGAACATGCCAGGCTTACCCACAAATGCCCAAGAATTGATGGATGGAATGAAAGGAATCATTGCATGACCAAATTCTCTTGAGTTGAGTGTGATCTTTTCCCTCCCTTACTCTTCCTCTCTTATTTATTTATTTTTGAGAGAGAGATATTTTTGCTATAGGGTGTGTGTCCTCAGTGGAGATACAGAGAGAAACACAGAGACAGAAAGCAATAAATTACTCCCGGGGGGGGGGTTGGCCATGCTGTAATCTCTGCTCATCCATTCTCCTCTTAGGATTTTGGGAACGCACACCCCCACACACACACACACACAACCCCACCAACCCTGTGAATTTTAGGCAACCAGGTCCAGGACTCATATTGCAGATGGCTACATGGGATTCCAGCAATAAAATTATTGTGCCATCTCCTGATCCCTCTCTCTTCCTCTCTGTCTCTGTCTCTCTGTCTATGTGCATATGTTCCATTACGAACAAAGAAAAAGAATACAAGACAGCCATTTAGACAGAAAGAAAAATGTCAATTACAGAAACCAAGGCAAGAAGGATGACCACAATATTATACTAAGTGAATTTGGGATGCACACTTTCAAAATAACACACTTTCAAAATGATTCTAAAATGTGTTACAGTAGTCTACTCAACACATATATTCTACTCAGCAGTATTTGTATCAATGAACACAGGAACATCTTACTCCTCTGCAGCCTTCCTACTTCCATCACAGATGTCATAGATATGTTCTACTTTTGTTTGCAGTGTTTTGTATTGCACTTCCTTTGATGCTTTCACAGACCTCAGGGAAGAGCAGGTGTCTTCCATGTCCTTCTTTCTTTCTGGAAAGGATGAAACAGTTTTCACATGGGTGAACATGGACCCAAGAACTTGAGAAGAGGTCAAGATTCCTAGCCTGGGAAGCCACTCTATCTTCCCAGCATATATTATATTCCTTTCTACAAAATGGAGATTTCTTACCCAAAAAACCTATCTTTCAGGTTATGTATAGTGAACCTCACGGATCTCATCTTTGAATCCTTGAGTTGGTTGTTTATGTCTCCTGACTCTAATATAGATTCAGCAAAAGGCATCTAAGAATAAATGATTATATAACAATGTGAATATACTTATCACTACTGAAATATACACTGAAAAATCTTTAGGAATTAATTTATGTTACCATAGAATTTATAGTTAACTGTGTTGTAGTAGCACAATTATTAGTAGCACAATTAAAAGTAAAATATATCATTTAAAAGGAAGTAAGAAATTTCTGGTCTCTGATTCAAGTAATGGATGGGAGTGACTTTCTGCCACCTGCTCCATCTTGCTCTTTGGCATCTTGATCTTTGGCAGGGCTTTCTCCTTCAGTGACTGCTGCTCTTCACACTTCACTCTCCCTTCTCTGCTCCTAGCTCCATTAAGGGCAATTGGACACAACATAAAACTACTCACAAAAACATAATTCCAAAAACAAAAATTGCACATACTTCTCATATGATTTTACTCTTCTAAGACATGAAACATGTATTCCTCATCAAAACTAAGATGCACAATGGAAACCATGCAGTGAATGTCGTAGTTTATCTCTGAAACTCCTGAGGTTTTCATTGAAGGAGCATCTTTCAAGGTCTGTGTAGAGTTTTCTTCTTCCCATATCTGCACATTGGTACAAACAAAACATGTGACTGGGCAGTTAGCTAAACAGATCAAGTGTTAAGAGAATATATCCTACAACTGCCTCTATTTTCATGGGAAATTAGTTGATCAGTTTGGGGTTACAAGTGTCAAGCAGATTAAGATAAGGGTAACAAGGATAAACCTTGTAGTATGAGTATTATCTGTTGTCTATAACATTCGTACTTATGAGATAATAGGTAGAAGAATGAATAATAAGGGGAAAGCAAAGAATGTGTAAAGTGGTTCAAGGCAGGGTCAACCTCAGTGCACACTGGTTAAGTGCTGTGTGCATCAGAAGCCAGATATCATAGTGCCAAACATGGTTCATATCCAAGCCTCAGCCAGTTGAAAAAAATGCCATATGCACGTGTGTGCCTGCTAAAAATCATGATGTGATGAAGAAATGAAGGAAAATGACTGTCATGTCACCACTCCCCACTGGGGCTTTCTCTATCTGTCTGGTGAGCATGTATGCTCCCTCACAGTGAAGGAAATAAAAAACAGAGGACAGAAAACAGATCAAGCTATAGAGCTCAATTAGCTTTCTTTACAGAAAAATGATAAAGAAAAAATTCCCCAATATGCATAAAAAGAAAATCAGGTTAATACGGTGGGAGGGGACAATTCAGCTTCAGTAGAGATCTTCATCCTCAGTCTATTTTCTCAGGTTTTCTAGATAATTGAGGGCAGTACTGATTGATGTGATCACCATCTAGGTTATGAATATAACACATGCTTCCTAGGCCCTTAATATAAAAAGTCACTGTGCTGTTATCCATCAAGATCAAAACATTTTCAGGAAAAGTATTAGCCCAGCAGACTCTCACACTTTCACTGTATGCAGGACAAGAGAAAATGCAGAGCTCAGCTCACCTACTGGCCAAAACACCTCAGAAACCAAGAAAGAATAAAAAGGAGCAGCCAAACTCTTACCAAGCCCTGAGTCTTGACATTTCCATCCTTCTCAGTAT